AACCTTTGAGTATTTCATGTCAAGACATGTTTTGAATCATTGCTAAGCTTGTTTGAAAATATCTTTATTAAGATTTGATTTTAAGATCATTTATCAAATAAAAAAATAATAAGATTTATCAAATACTTCTTTTAAATATTTTTATCTTTTACCAAAAGAATAAGACAAAACTTTTAATTAATAAAAAAAATCATCTTGAAGCTAGAAAAATTTCATCTTCATGAAATAAAATTAATATTGATTGTGGATTCAAACTTTTTTAAATAAGTTCAATTGAGTGTGTCCTTTGATCTTTTTATCCATGATGTTAAGAATAATTTTTTTAAATCTTATGATATCTATAAGTTCAAGTTCAAAAATAATTTGCTTCATTTCAAAAGTTGCTTATATGATTTAGAAGATGAAGAACAGTTATATGTTCTTTAAGCTCATCACAACTTCTTTGTAATTAAAAATTTTGAATACAATAAGATTTTGAAGCTAATATCTATAGATTTTTGGTGGTTTTAAATATGAAAGAAAGTCTAAGACTTTGTATAATTATGTGATATTTGTTCAAGATTAAAAATTCCTTGTAATTAACCTTGTGGACTTCTTTAGCCATTACTTATTCCAAAACAACCATAGTCTTTTTTTTCTATAGACTTTATCATGAATCATTTAGTCTAAGATTTTTATGACTCTATATTTGTGATAGTAGATCATTTTACTAAGATTGTACATTTTATACCTTATAAAAAATTAATCATAAGTCTTGAAAAATCTAAGTTTTTTCTTGACAATACCTATCATTAATATGGATTTTTAAGAAATATTATATTGCATAGAGGGACTTAATTTATATCCAAATTTTTGAGAATTCTTTTTAATATTTTAAAGGTGGACATAAAATTATCTTTAGCTTTCTATCCTCAAACTAATGGACAAATGGAGCAAGTGAATCAAATTTTTGAGCAGTATTTGAGATGTACCATCAATCACCAACAAGATCATTAAACAACTCTTTTATCATTAGTAAAATTTACTTATAATAATATGATAAATTTTTCTATTCAACAAAAAAAAAATATATATTATTATCATCCATAATTTGATATTTTTGATTTTTTAAAAGTTGATAATCCTATAATAGAAGTTTTCACAAATCATTTATTAGAGCTTTATATGACAATAAAGACACAACTAAAAGAAACTCAACAATAATAAAAAAATCAATATGGATGTTTATTTCAAAAGAAGAATCTCAATTCTATGTTAGTAGTAAGATCTAATTACTTTGTTGTAATACCAAGACTATTTGTTCTTGCAAAAAGTTGGATTATTGTAGACTTAAACTATTTTCTATTTATGAATAGATCAATCCAGTTGCTTATTGATTGCACTTATAAGAATTTATAAAGATGTATCATATATTTTATATGTTTTTTCTTGAGCCATATAGGACAATAGATATACCAAGAAGAAGACAAATGCCATTTCTCCCTATAGGAGTGGATAATAATAAAGAATTTGAAGTGAAAGAAATCTTAGATTTAAAGCGGTGCCAAAATATGTAAAAATATCTTATTTATTGGCATACACATGATATTAGTAAATATACATAGAAGTCAACCAAAAATCTTACAAATGCAATAAAGAAAGTTCATGCTTTTCATCAATAACATCCATCAAAACCAAGATGACGAGTTGTAAACTTTTATTATAAAAAAAAGATGTCTAATAAAAATTACATTCTACCTTTTATCTTTGTTTGCTAAGAAAATAAAGAATCAATAATCAATAGATTCAACTCAAGAACTTTTTTTTATTAAGTTATCAAATGAGATATTGTAATTGTGTCAACCTTCAAGATAATATAATAGAGATGAAGATCCTCAAAAAAGACATATTTTTCATCAAATAGATGGTGAAACATAATATATTTGGTATCACAACTTTAAAAGAGATTCTTGATATTTGGTGATCTTATTGGAATTAAGAACTACCTCCAACAATATTTCAAATGTTTTATTTGATCTTTCATAACTCTCTTCAAATATTAAGGTGGTTTTTTTGTCCTAGTATAGAATACTATTGATAGCTAAGAGGACCTATAAACCACCTTTAAAGAGAATAAAGATCAAAATATGTGGCAAACATGATTTGTCACATCTTGAACTTCTTCAATATATGATTACCGCTCCTTATAGAACTTGTTTCTAGAAGGGAGGGAGGAAGAAGGAGAGATAATGTCATTGACATATATATTTACTTAGATATGAAGTATTAGGTAGATGGTAAATATATGTAGATTTGATAATATTTCATGATAGAGCTTCTTAAAAACTTCAAAGATGCAGATTTGACTTTATACGTGTTTTTAATTGATTGGTAGGTTAAAAAATTTGGCCAAAAAATTAGCCTCATGTTGCATGTATTACATGTGATGATATCTTGTGGCATAAATGTAGGAAACTTATCTTATAAATTTGACATATGTCTTACAAATTGCATATATATTAGAAGTCCTATAGAACATTATCAAATAGCTTTTAGTTAGATAGTATATATGGAAGGAAGAATGGAGCCTTTTTCACTCTTATCCATGTCTTTGTATTTCTTAGTCTTGTTTCAAGACTCTATAGTCTTATTGTCTTTGATAATAGCCATTTTAGTTTCAATATTATATTAATTTTGAGTGAATATCTATTCTTTTCAAGTGACAAATGAGTGTATTGAATTTTTATTTGTTTGAGATTCATGTCCTTAACAATAAGTGTTATAAATTCAATAACTTTATACATAAGCAAGAATTTATTTTTTTACGTAGCATAGAAATTTCTATTAGATACTTCAAAGAAGTGTTTTGGTATTAAATGTTTTCTTTCCATACATAGTATTGTAGTTTTTTTGAGATAAAAGAAATTATTAATCTATGAGCTTACAAACTTGTGTTTTAATAAAAAAAAAGTTTGCTCAAATTTCTAAGAAGTTTTTTAACATCTTTAAAAATTAGAATAAATTTCTTTTTATAGCTTTTGAAATTATACTAGCTTATTAATACAACGAATGATTACCTAAGTTCTTACTTTTTGTTAGTTTATTTTTGTCAATTTTTCATTAAAAGATTAAGTGATAAGAGTCAAAAAAGAAAATTGAAATGACATTGGCTAATATTAAATTAGCATATGTGACCAAGAATATTAAAAATTAGATACCAAAAAATAAATTCTTGATTTGCATAAAAGTCCACATATACCTAGAGGTAGTATCCTCTTTAATGAAGAAAAAGCTTATATAGAAGATAATATTACAATATATTTATTCAATAATAATTAACAAGAATATACAAAAAATATTGGTTTTGTATAAATAATCCATTAAAAGAACTAAGAAATAAAATACCAAAGTAATTGAATCTAGATGTGCAAAAATAAATGCAAAATGTTGTTATTTGCATTGCATTGAATCTCGTTTTTTTAATTGCTCATCTTCAATTCATCAAGCAATATGTGAATTAACAAATGACTAACAAGAATCTTATAATATTTTTTTTTCTTTATATTATATATTTTCTTTGGAATTAAGAATGTTGATAGATGCTTGCTTTGCACAATTGCAAAGATATGTCTTAAAGCCACATCTACATATGTTAATTGCATAATGCATTGATCTATTATTTATAATAATTGGTGGCTTATCAAATAGGTGGCTATCTCTAAAAAAATAATTGTTATTATGATCTTTGTTCTTGATGGATATTTTTTATTAGTATTTTTTGACACAACATATTAGAAAATAATACTACTAATAATAATAATAACATGTTGTGGTTCCTTTCATATGATTCTATTATAAGTGACCTATCTATTATTTTTTTCATAAACAATGGCTAATGAAATTAACTAAGACTAACAAGATAATAGAGTCAAATTTGGAAATAATAGTAATGGTTGAAAAAAGTACATCATGGTATGTAATGTAAGTTTATGACAACTTGTGGTAGTATTAGCAAAAACTATAATAAAATCAGTAATACCTTACTTAAATTAAGTTTTAATGTATTATTAATATTTTTTAAAAATTATTTGAATAATTTTTTATAATATATAATTTTTTTAATATCATAATTTAAAAGATTTCTTATATTATTATGCATAGATAAATAATATGGAATAAATTACTCTATAATATTTAAACTATTAGAATATTTTTAAATTGTTAAAATTTTAAGAGATTGTATGTATTAACTTTGCATATTATTTTTATTTATTTACAAGTCTAATTGATGTATAAAAAGTAATCTTTAATAATACTAATTCATTATATTTATTTACAAACATTTAGAATCAATGGATCTCTTTTACAATCAATAAATTTGTACATAGTTTCATTGCTATACTTAACTAAGAAAATTATATAATAATTTTTTTAATTAGTTTTTATAATAAAAAAATATTTTTAAATAAATAGACATAATTATTAGAACTTCAAAGTACCAGAATGGATCCTAATCAAATCATTATTTCACCACCATAAAATTTGAAATAAAAAATTCACATATTCTCTTTTTATATATGTATGGATTAATAATCATAAAATATTTGTTATGTATTATAATTTTTTGAGTTTTAGAAGGTTTGAAACGTGCACAACATAATTTTCTAATCAATCCATCAATTAACAAACAGATCAGATGTTTCAAAAAACCATGCAACCAAGAATTAAACACAATCCATCGAAGATGTAAATTTCTTATCAAAGTGTATTTGCAAAGACGAAGATAACAAAAGGGGCAATGCCATGCCACTCAAGCCATGCACCGTCCATGAGCACAGAACCCACTTAAATGTAACAATGCCATTACAATCTCCAATGCACTGAATGAATAAATCACCACCCCTCTAGACACACAAACTCAAAACACTTAGTCAAACTCTGGTGAATGATCTTTGGAAAACTGAACCCATTTCATTGAAAGATTAAAAAAAATGAAAAAAAAAAAAAAAAAAAAAAAAAACTCCACATAATCACATTACCATTTCCTTCCAGAATGTGCTCTAAACAGTTGACAGCAAACTACAAAGTGATGCTCACTGAGCAACAGTGATGGATTTTGGAGAGACTGTGAAGCTCTCATCGGAGACACCTCACCTGAGTAGTCTCAACACAAAGGCCTCCTCACACACTGCTATGGACATCTTTTGCAACCATGTACAAGATGCTCCATGCATCACCTCTGTGGAGAATCACAAACGCCGCTGGTGCCTGCTAATGGATCTCGTGCTCAGGAACCCGCACCAACAGTCATTTTTCTGAACACATCTCAGCTTTCGCTGTTGTCTCGTTTCCAGTCTTTACAGTGGCTGGATCCTGATCCGAGCATGTCCAGGCGGGAGGAAGTGGACGTTATCCAGAGACAGTCCGCGGCGAGCAGCAGGAAAATTCTCGTTGTGCTCTCAGGACCTTGCCCACCCGTTGCCGTTAGCTCCTGCAGAGGGAATCAGGAAACGGTGTCAGATCCAGACTCTGCATGTGTTGTCGTCCCTGCCCATGTGGAACTTTATAGATACGCGTGACGGCGTCAGTGACCGTCATCAGGTGTAACGTGCAGAGAATCATTCCGTCCTTATATACTTTAATCTTTGATCCATAGCCCAGCCCCATGTTATGCCAACTCGAAAGCCTCAATTACCCTGAGCAACTCACGAACTTCATAGAACATCGCTTTGCATCACCTAACCCCTCTGACTCTAGAACTTTCAAATTGAAAATGTGACTTCTGAAGCTGTTTTTGATTGTGGATAACCTCTCCTGACTGTAATTTGTTATCGCATTTTGATGCAAATCCATTAGCGTGGGGTGTGTACCAAGTTCAGTGGGTAGTCGGACCTCGGCGCTGTCTTCGGAGGACACTGTCTCTTCGTTTTCGTAGCACATCTTTTCGTGCCTGCGTCCCCAAGCGCCAATACATCCTGGTTGTCTCCTCGCCCACGACGCTGAGCTTTGGCTGCCGGGCCAGTGCGAATCCCATTAGTGATAACCAACATGAGTGGACCATAGTCGGTGCTAAAAATGAAGCGCCTTCTGAGCGACCAACTCGTCACCACCATTTCATTTCGAAAGCAGAGCTCTACGGGACTGCGCAATCACCGGGTTAAGGAGCCTTGCGTTGATGCACAGAGATACTTCAGCCTGAGATATACTGCTGCGTGCAGAGTCGGCACCAAGAGTCGACTTGGCAGCTTAATGATGACATTCCTGACTGTGGACGCAGTCTGTAATGACTGTTGCAGTGTTTACGCATGCTGCCTCATATGATATTTTCCAGTCACTGCACAATCCTGGGCGTTTCTGCTCTCTCGCACACGAGGCCCATCAGAATCTGCAGGCGAAGTGTAGTCCGAATCCGAGTGCGATAACTTTGCACGGGTTCCATTCAGGAAGCACGACGGTTCAAATGGATCCTGCATGGTAGCGTCGGGCACGGTAGAGGGAGCGCGCAGAGAGCGAGTGCTCCATTGAGATGATGGCATGAAGAAGAAGGCTGCAGGGAGTGCGCCGCTCTTGTCATATATCTTCCACCATCTTGTAATTACATCTTGTAACCATCACAACCCCACATGCTAAAAAATGAACTAGAATTTATCTTATTCGTCGGATATACTTTGTTACAAATATATCGTAAACTAACAAACGCACAGGTTGACCCAACTCCGATAATTATCCATCCACTGTCCTCCATACAACCCAAAATAACGGATGAACTTCTTCCCACGGCCAGCCCCAGCGTTCGAAACTAACAAGAAGGCCCAAAGAATGTCAGAGGTCCGTTAGATATGGAAGATCTTCTTAACAGATTATCAATTACAAAATGGCGCATTTCTTGATGCCAACTGCCAATCCCGGCATTCAAAGCCGAAATCCAGGAGCTCCAGGTCTGGCGTAGAACGGAGCTGTTGCTCTTCAACCGCTAATCCACAAGACAACGCCAGCTGTGCCGGTTCGATGTGATCGATCCGGATCTTTGCCTCATCGTCATCACCGCCGCCTCGTCGATTCTTCACTCCGTACCGACACCTTTTAAGTCAATCTTTTTGCACTTTCTCCCTCCAATCCCTTTACTGAAACGGTTTCATTGCAACGTCTACAACTCTACCCAGAGTTTTCCACTGGAGCTGTGGCATAATCTGCCAACTAGAATGGTCTTGATGGCCTCGAAGGAAGCATTCAGAATGCGACGAATGTGACGGCCCAATAGCTTCGGCAAGCGGTCCGTTTCAAGTCACAAGAGGCTTTCCAGGTTCGCTTCAATTGCATGTGATGGATGGAATAATTAGACACGTTTAAAACCTTGACTCTAAAGTCACGGGAAAGAAACCAGCTGTGCACAGTTGCAGGATCTACCACAGCCTGGTCATCAATGGGCCCCACAATTCTGCATTAAATCCCATGGAGAGCTCGTAAAGGTACGAATTAAACTCATGTCTTCGCTTGTAGATATGAAACAGAACTCGATGCTGCCATTGATACCGAAGTGCATTGGACCTGAGATGTGCAATTCGGAATAGATGTACCGAAAGGTATTGGATGCATAGCATGAGAAAATTGAGCACTACTATGTAGATCTGAGTTCGAGGGATAATGATGGACAAGCAAGGTTTTGACGACGGCTCTGATTATGCGTTCTCGGATTTCCTCAGCCGCCCACCAGAGCGGACGCCGAGGAACGTCGGTGTCATGCATTATACAGACGACATATGAGGTTTTTGTGCCGCTGGTGGACAAGGACCCCGACCGTGCGATTTCGCTGTTCTGGACGGCCGTGAACGTGGGAGACAGAGTTGACAGTGCGCTGAAGGATATGGCCATAGTAATGAAGCAGCAGAACCGGCCACAGGAGGCGATTGAAGCGATTAAGTCGTTGCGTAACAGGTGCTCCGACGAGGCCCAAGAGTCTCTGGATAACGTGCTCCTCGGTCTGTACAAGGTGCGTGGGCTAAAGTAGATGAGAGGGGGTTTTTTAACGGTAACTGTTTGCGGCGCCAGCTTGGCCAGGTAGAGGTCAAGCGGCGGTCTCAACCTGTCCCTTTTAGGCAGTGCAGAGATGCGGGAGGCTGGATGACCAGATCGACGTCCTTACGCACAAGCTGCATCTGGTCCACCAGGGGATAGTCAAACGCTCAAAGACGGCCAGATCGCAGGGGAAGAAGTTTCAAGTCTTGATCTCGCAGGAAGCGAGTAGTATTCTGGTGGGGCATCAGCACCTGTCGATCGGACCGTTGAGAGCAAAGCATGATAGCATGGACGGTCTGTCGATCGGATGACCGAGACGGACATGTGTCTGAGCTGCCTTTCATTAGTGATGTTGCAGGGCAATCTCGGCTGGGCGTACATGCAGCAGTCAAATTTTGTTGGTGCAGAAGCGGCGTATAGGCCATGTATCAACTCCGACCATCGCAGCCATTTTCCTGGTCGTCAAATTTGAGAATGTTGTTTGTACAGCATGGATCCATTGCGAGGAAGGAGGCCCATCTGTAAATTGTGCGCTCTGAGGGTGATCCTTGGATTGTGTTGCTCATGGATGCAGCTAATGAGCATTTGTAAATGTTGTTATTATTACCATCATTTTTGCTAAGCATTCTATTTTCTAATAAAGTGGATCCTAACTGAATTTTTCAAACATAAACTTAACACCCTTTGTCTTAACATGGAATACATGTGCCTGGAATGCGTGTTGGATTGTGATTATTCCATTGTGGCAGCACTTGTTTAAGTGAATTTTTCCACTAGTACTTTAGGTTATCTCATGAAGCAACGAAGACGTTTGGGTGTTAATAATTAACTAGTTTGAGATTTGAATATCTGTCACCAAGATATTTGATCACGTTCTGAGCCTTCACTTGAGCTTTTGCATTGTGTGTCTTACTTCATTTAAATACAGGCGGTGCATGATAGTGTTGAATCACAGGCAGTTCATGCGGTTTTTAAATCTGTTGTCCTCATTTGCGTCTCCAGAAGGGTAGGTTGAAGGTCAAGATTGGCTTGAGTAGTGTCAGAATGCGGGAGTAATTTCTGTCACAGTGTCAAAATGGGAGTTGTCGCCTCTGGCTTTATGAGACATGCGTGCATTTACTCATTGGGTCTTAGAATGCTGTTTTTACTTCAGAGAGCGACAGCGCATCTGTACTTTGACATCGGATGCGTGACTTCAAACCAGCAACACATTCACTGTAGAATTGTGGAAATTTTGACAAGTACAGGGAAGGGCGGCTAGTTCACATACCTAAAGCTTTACATTTACAGTTTTGAAGATCTGCTCGTGTCTATCCCACACATAGCCCAAGTCAGGCTAGAAGGTTTATTGCAGAATCAGCAACGAGTTTGTTTGTAACCATTCCTAGGTACATACATGCAAGTTTTGAATGGAAAGGCAAATGTAAATTGATATGCTGTAGTACAAGCATACTAACCACGGCGATGATGAGTTTTCAAACGAACTGGACTTACACTGTTTCCGGAGTCGGAACAATTGATCGCTGTGTAATACTATGATCGCGACCAGGACTTTCAACTCTGATATTTCCTCCTCGACAGGGTACTTCGGCAGAATTACGCCAGGGCATGCACTCAAACCCCAGAAGGTAAATCCAGAGGATGAAAGAAATATTTGACACTCTTGCTGAATTTCCATCAAAATTCTTGGATGAAAATGAAATTTACAGATTTTGCTATCGTATACAGGAGCACAAAAAATGTGCTGCGATGAGTGCAAAAGTTTACTTTACTCTCGATCCTCTATATCCTATAAGGAAGTAACTAGATTTTACACAGCTCGCTACGCTTACTGCCTGGTAGCCAACTGCCCGAAATGAGCGTTAGAAATAAAATTGGCGCTCGGAGGGTTATGGTGTTCTGGCTCCCTTTTGTGTATAAGCTTTAGTAAGGAGCTTGCTTTACGCTTCGCTCGTGGAGTGCCCATCGTTAGAAGCGAGCACAGTGAAGAAACTGCAGTGCTGCACTCAATCGCAGCAGTAACCATTTTTTCTCCCCCACTTCTGCAGAGTACGAGCAACACAGCGATTGCATTTTCTCTCCCTTTCGGAGTACCTACTCTCAACAGGCGGACCAAGATTGGAATAGCATTTGCCTCAGCAATAGCCGTGAGGCCTTCAGTAGATCCTGCCACAAGGCCTAGGACCATTAACGCATCGTCTGCAACTCCAGCCTCGTCTTCACTGAGGAGCGAAACTAGGACCGCAACAGCACCTGAATTAACAATAGGTGACTTGTTGCCATGATAAACGGCAAGATTGAATAGGGCAGAAGCTGCATCTTTCTTTCCCCTCCGCGGTGTCCCATCTCGAAGCAGTGTCACAAGGCCAGAAATAGCATCAGGTCTCTTTCCAATAACTATCTTATATTCATCCACCACTGATAAGGAGAATAGCGTTGCTGCAGCATTTTCTCTCGACTCCATGCTCCCTCCAAACCTGAGGACAGCTATGATAGGGTCCAGGGCACCAGCATTGATGATCAAAGACTTGTTCTTGTCATAGATTGAGAGGTTGAGAAGCGCAGTCACGGCATTTTTTTGTGTCTTTGGATCCTTCGAAGAAAGAAGCGTAACCAGGTACGGAATCGCTCCTGCGTCTGCTATACACATTCTGTTGTCTGCGCCACATTTGGCAAGCAATCGAAGTTCATATGCAACCTGTTTCTGCACCTCGGGAGACCCAGTCGCGAGTTTACCTACCAAAAAGGACGCTGTCATTTTGGTTGCTTCAAGAGCGGCCTTAGAGCTCGCAACCTGATTGTTACCTGCTCCGCCTTTGGAGCTCTTCTCAGGCTTATCGAATGGAACATGATTATCCTCACACCACTGAGTTATCAAGCTCCGCAGAGCATAATTAGGAATCAAATTCAGATGTCCAAGCTTCTGTCCACTCTTAGGGCATGTGGTATGATTTTCCTCAATCCATTTTGAAATTGATACCCGATCGTATGTCTGACCAGAGGCAACAATCACGGGATCACGCATGAGGTCGAGTGAGATAGGGCAACGGAACTCATCGGGTGGATTCGCAATGACATCAACTCTTCCACTCGAAGAGAATTCACAAGAGTCTTCGACAGATGACTCTTGAGACCAGTTGCTATCTTCCATCTCCGTGACCCCGTACAGGACACACCTGCCATACCGGACAAACCCTATGAGGTTGGTGACTGAAGCGAGACTGTGTTCCGAGTCATCGTCCGACTCCGATTGCGTCTCCATCTTCTGTAGTTCTTTCTCACATTCTCTAGCATTTTTAAGCCCCAAATTAGCAAATAAACTTTGCAATTGTCTAGTGTCAGGCTCCTCTTCTCTCTCAACTCGTGCTAGAAGCTCGATCACCTCCTCCGCAAGCGCATCCTCTAGTGAATCCACAAACAGCTTCGCTCTTTGAACCTGCATCTTAACTAGCTCCACTTGCTCTCTGACTTCGTCAGAAATATCAAGAAGATCTAAAGGCAATATCTCTAAAGCATCTGCCAGGCTGCCTGTTAATTTTTCGAACTTCTCCGAAGTGGATTTATTCCGAAAGATTGATAAGAAGACGCTAGCTTCACCACAAGCTTCTATCATTTCCTTAGTTTTCATCATTACGTGGTAAATCTCACGGAAAGAGATAAGAGCTGATGGGGGCATTGGTGGATTCATGTCCCGTACCTCCTCAAACAACGGAGACAACAGCTTAATTCTACGGGAAAGATTCGCCGCATTCCGCTTTTGACACACTTGAGATCTGCCACAGTTAGCAACCTGCTGCGCTAACACAACTAACGAATTCGCCAACGCCTGAGATGACAGGATCGCGGATGGAGGCGACATGGTCGTCATGGCAGCAGCTATTGCCTTTCGCTTACTCCCAGACTACCGCGATCGTTAGTCCACACATTTCATGTCCCAATCTCTACCTGCAGCCCCTCCAATCCATCACGATCCAGAGTACAACATCCGTCTGTCACCTAGAACTCCACCTCCAGCTTTCCACCTTCCTCTAACTCGAAATTCACGCCAAACACTTCCCAGAGCATGCCACAATTCTTCCACTGTGAAATCGTCGCACCCGATCGCCAGCAGAGACTTTCCCTACGGCAAACAATCCGACAACAGACTACGCGATGAGCTCTCTACTCGCCATCCAACCACCACCACGCATTCTCACTAACAATTCCACGATCTCCCCGACTCCACTGACCTAGACCGACCACACGCTTTACGCCATCTCCACGAACTGTCTCCCTCCCGAAAGCCTGTTCAATGAGGCGTCAGAACACCAAATCCAGAGCCAGAATGCTTGATAAATCGCAAGGTTCTCTGTGAATCGAGTGCAATGGTGGTGACCAGCCGCGGCGTGGAGATAGAGCGGCAACAGGGGAAGAGAGGCCACATTGATAGCTCGGGGAGCAGATGCACTATATGTACAACGAAGAGCCATGACAGCCGCAACTCGCCGAAAGACGCCTCGATACATACGGATTCGGCGCGCTTTCGTATCCGTACTCTTAGTGTGTTCGTATAGTGCATGGTATGGTATGTATCGGCATGGTATGGTATGTATCGGCATGGTATGGTATGTATCGGCATGGTATGGTATGTATCGGCATGGTATGGTATGTATCGGCATGGTATGGTATGTATCGGCATGGTATGGTATGTATCGGCATGGTATTGTGCGATGTTCGATACATATGGAATTTGTGTAGATTTGGTTTGAATTCCCGCTGTGTGTAACACGATAGTATGAGTGTGAGCTTTGACTTCGCTCTATACTTTTTTACGTCTTTTTCGATTACTTTTTCTTTCCTGTTTGCATATATATATCTATACATATGTATATAGATAAATGCGTAATTTTTTAATAAAAAATATTTTTGTTAATGGTAGGAGGTAATACAGATGTTGTTTAGAGATGTGTTGGTTTGCATGAAACTTGAAGAATAGACCTGCAAATTTTGTTATTTTAATTAGTAGATAAAAACTGGTCAATGTATTTAATTTCTATGTAGAAGAGCGAGCTTGCTGTCACAAGACTAACATGACAAAATTCTGTTGCATTGACTGGATTTGTACTAGCAATAGAATTTAGTGACTCAAATTTTAATAGTAGATATGTTTATTTATTGATATTTTTAACCTATTTACAAGGTTAGTCTTCCTAAGGCTCCTGAAAATTTTAGCTTCATGCTTGTAAATTTCTTCTTCTAGCTTTCTGTGTAAAAAATAAAAGTAATATCACCTAATTGTTCTAATTCCAAATCATGTAATGCAATTGTTCCCAACATGCAAATGGAAAGTAATCTTCACTACATATAAAAAAGAAAAAGAAAAAGAAAATGTTTTCATTTTATGAATATATTCATATGTAAATTTTTTGCTATCTAATCTTAGACTATCACATTTTTATTGAAACTGTTCCAAGATTTATTGTATCATAATTGCTTAGCAAGAATATATTGTAATCAATATGTTGAACAAGAAAAACAATAAATCTCTATATATTAGATAAAATAATAATAATAATAATAATAATAATAATAATTGTGTATCACTTGCATAGCAATGTAGTAATAACTTCATAAAATCTAAAGCAAAAGTATACCACTTAATATATATTTAGCACAATATGTATTTATAAAATGTACTATTATTTATGAAAGCATACAAATATTTGCAATATTAATTAAATGATTGCATAGTTTAAGCCTTAACGTTCTTCAAAAAAGATATATATATATATATATATATATATGCAATATCAATTGTGGTTTTACCTAACCAACTATCTTTGGGCAATGAATATGTAGTAGGCTAGATAGAACCCTGACTAGTTCAAATAATGCAAGATAATAGTCCAAAGTGTGCATTTGGAAAGGTTGGTGCAAATGGCTAAGGATACTATTAGCTTTAGAATGGTCTTGAGCTTGATTCTAGTCATGTACACCATAGACTATCTATGATATAGTTATGTTTTGATCCCCCCCTTTTGGTGCTTAATCGCTTCTCTCTAATCCTTTCCCTTGGCCCTAACTTGGCTCATACCTTGGCTCATCCCTTGGCCCCATTGGCTTCTATTCCCCTCATTCCAAAATTTGCAAACACAAGAGTGTGAGCAAAAACAAGCATATAATTAATTTGTTAAAATTGCCCAAAATCCAACCATGAATGAAAAAAAAAAAAAAAAAAAAAAAAAAAAAATCACCATTGTAAGAGCTGAATACCTATTCCTCTGTAGCCCAAAAGCACAAACAAACAAGTGGATACTCTAAATTAAAAAGAAAATTATCATTGTATCCACACACACAGAAAACAACATTCCCTAATACTATTTTAACCTAAAAGGTTCATTTATTATCAACATTTAAGAAATCACTGGTGTTTTAACTTCTCACGGGGTCTGTATGTACATGAACACGTATACACAGACACACAAATGTTTTTGAACCGACTACCAGCAAGCGAAAACGAAGAAATCGGGCTACAATTTCGGTGAGCTGGGGAAATTTCAGGACAGAACAAAGAGCACAATCAACGGCGCCGATGTGCGATGCCGGCGGGATGCTCTGCAACTGAAGTTCACGCACATGGCTCCCTCTCTCCATCGACGGCGCCTCGTGAACTCTCTTGCCGTTGGCGCTTCTGACACCGACTCCTCGAATGCTACCATACTCTCTCTCTCCCTAACTCACTCCTACGAACAGCGCCATACTTTCGTATTTCCCTCGTTCTTATGTATACGATCACGAGTTGAAATACACAATAAAATACCAAAAAAACAAAATCAAAGAAACAAACAAAAGACGAAGAACATCCAATAGTTTCACCTGAAGCGGAATTCTACATTATAGAAATTCATGGTTTGAAATGAATAAAATAAAACCCACCATTAAGCAAAGGTTGTTACCATTACTGGACATGTAAACCACTTTTTCCTTTTTAATTTATTTTTTTTAATAACAACAACGATTAGTATAAGCTATCTAAAATACTTGTAAAGTATATTTTCAATGAAGTCACAATGCAGTAAGTTATCCTAAGTCCAAACGCAATAATAAAGAGTGAGTGATGGAGGGGTAATATTTGGTGAAACACCCCCCGTTGGGTACGAAGGTGGATGAAGGAGGAGATGGATGCAGAAGAGGGAAGAAGGGGACTGTGAGCCATGTGGTACTGCGCCATGAATGGGGTGAGAAGGCCAAGGCCGTTTCAAAGTTAAGTTTGCCGCACACCATGACCCTAGGGGGAGGTTTGGTGTAGCCGCCTCCATCTCCACCTCTAAACCTAGTGCCAATTCTACCCTCTTCCTTCTCCTCCTCTTCTGCCTCTAAACTTAGCTCACAATCCATGGACCTGGCTGGACCGCCTGTGTGATTCCAGTAAATTCCGGCGCCTTTCGAGTGCTCAGGTGGATGACGAGCTTAGTTGAATGAAGCATCGTTTGTTTTTATCGCTGGGTGCTGTTCCAATGAAGAGACGAAGCGGATCTCCATCTACGGAAAGAAGCAAAGCAGCAAATGGGAAAAAGAAAAAATAAAGGAAAAAATAAAAATATGCTCGCGAATTTCCATTGTCTCTGCACATGCGCAGTACCCAGACGTGTGGCTCGGTGGTTGAGGCGCTCGCCAGACGAGCCATTGGGAGTAATTTCGGGTCATCACCGCAACTAGACAGAGCTGATCTCAGATCTCCACCTAAAGTGACTGTTGTCAGCGGTGCGAGGATTTTGCGACTGGGGTATCAAAACAGGCGGTGAAGCTGCAAATTCAAGTATTCGGTCCACTCCGCAGCGTTCACAGACTGGGGCGATTTTGGTCAGCTGCATAGGTTTCGAGAAAGGCTAAAAGCAGCCGAGAAAATTTCTACCAGATTTAGGAGATGGAGTAGTGGGGAGCTTCGAGGATGGAGCGCTTACTGGGCAGACACACGCTGCGCATGCTTCATTGGGTGAGTTTGTGTGAAAGTACCTCCCTCGTAATCATACCCCCCACTAAAAAACGCATCTCCTTGTTCCGTCCAGCTTGCTGCCTTGGAAACCCATAGCCATGACCACTGGAACTTGGTCTCTGCGCCGCCCCCACCATCGTCGTGAAGGAGTTGCCAAGGACAGCATGAATGAAAACCTGTCCAATCTGGACCTACTTATTCAGCAACGAAGAGGGGTATCACTGTCCAGTATTGTTACGTACCATTCTAGCCACGCCAGAGGAGGGTCATCCGCAGCGTCTAGGCATTAGAAGCAACAAAGCAGCTGGAAAGGACCGCCTGGGTCATTGCTACAGAATTACGTATCGTGTGTGTGAAGAGTCTCGTTTCTCCAGAGGGTTCAATACGGGTAGTAGAAGGATACTGCTGGAATGCACCTCTAGAAACGAGGAATGGCAGCTAGTTGAGCGGTGCTTCCTCATCCACGTTGATTAGGAGAATTAGATTGGTTAGTACCGTGTGTTAGCATCTCACAGAATGACTAGATAAATATTTATGCACACATACCTGCGGTGCGGCGTGGTTTCGATAAAGCTTGTACAAGGTTGAACTCGCTTGTACGAATTTGCACCCACAGTCATTACAACTCAGCGACAAAATTTTGATATTCTGCTTAAGGCTATGTTTCAAGGTGCGATTGTGCAGTACCAGTTCCTGGGTTTGTCAAAACAATCTCTGCTTAGTAAGGGTTCGCTTAAGTCGTTATACTCGTCAAGGTCTCTTTTTAATGGAGCATCTCCACTAACGTGGCAGGCAAGAAATTAAAAATATACCAGAAGCAAGAGATTGAAAACAAAAGGTTGAGGAAGTGCTTCTAACCCATGAATTGGTTCAGCCTTCATTCAACCTGTGACAATCACTCATGTTCATTCTTGGCACAGGCCTACACAATTCATCGGTAGCAATTCAGTCCCAACCAAGTCCTGAGGACTAGAAATGAACGTCTGCTTTAGAGATTTCCTCTTTGTGAGGAAAGTGATTATGTAATAGTGGATACATGATACACAAGGAAACAGTATCAACCCTACCCAAAACTTTCCTGCTTTGGTGGGTAAGTACAGTAGCCACTCAAAGATGGCCAAAATAAACTCTTCAGGTTTCCAGAGTTATCATCTGGAAAAGATCAGCAGCCGTAGGTACTTCGCAAATCGCTGAGAACCAGTGTGCATGCATGATACGAGATCACACATAGTAGTAAATTTGGAAGTCCACTTCAAGTGTGATTTTTATCACAATCATGAGTGAATCATGAACTCTTAGAAGTGCTAGAAAAACGTAGCTCGTTCCCCATCTGTGAATGTGCTCTACAAAATTTGCAGCAAGCTGACACATGGTACATTTCAAACTAAGAATGTAATCAACAGGCTGTCTCGGACCTGGCAGCCAGCATCTTCCGCAGCATTAATACCTGTAAACACCAACAACAGGGTAACATGTCCACAGCTTAACAAGGTGCGTCACTATTAATGAAACGGCAGGACTTCTCCTGGCTATAAAGTAACCATCTCAGGCTCCAATTTCTAACTGCATCGTTTGTCAGAACTAGGGTTGCGATGGATTGTAGGGCCCTTCGTGAAATACTGTTTCTTGTGAAAAATTGTGATCTACAACCCCCATCCGCAAAAAGCTATTATTCCCCGTGGTATGTTCTTCCTTCAACCTTTCTTTATATGTTGTACTATCAGTCGACACCAACACTTCTAAGAGCTGCACTCTTAAAACATTTTTGGGATTGGCGTTTAGAAAGATCAACATTCAATATTAAGCGTTATTATTCTATGTTTGAGGTATTTATTATCTTATGTTTGACTAGAGAACCGTAAGAAAACCTACCAAAAAGCACAGATAACAGCCGGTGGGATAGCTTCCCCTGAACGGGAACAGCACATTGACGTTTTAAATCACTGTAATGACCTTCACAATTCTCCTGAAAGTTTCGGGAATACTGAATTATGGCTTGACAGATCCTTTGTCGAAGGGCCTCTGGGTGATGAGCAGCTTGTTATAGCATGCAAACCGGGAGTGCAAAAGAAGAGAGGATTTGGTTGGGACCAGCGCACCTCCTGTTGCAAATCCAGGACTTTGGACTCGCTCTCGTGCTTCTCCTCCATAGCCCGTACAACCGCTGCTTCTATCAACCTATTCTCCGCATCGACCTACCAATCCATTGGAGGGTTATCAACTTTAAAAATTTCCATGAACTGACATGAAATTACAACCAACAATTCAATGTCCGTAGAAATCCAGCGTTAAATGGAACATACAACTTCGTAACAAAGATTTTAGAATATACACAATCCAGATAAATATGTCACAAGCTTGCACAGCCAAAAGGAAAGCCAAAAGAATAATTTCCATGCAAGAAAGTTATGCCCACCTGACCAAATGAACAGAGCCGCTGTCGCTCAATTTCAAGCTGTTGCCGTAAAAATGTTTGCTCCTGAATCAAAACACCAACTTCTATTAAGTTACTCTCTCACAACTGACAGTACTGTGAGCATTGAAAAAGATTTGTACATCACTGTTCACAAATTTGCAACATTTTCCTGAATTGCAGGGTTAATCAAATTGTTTGTGCCATGGATTCTCACTCAAAAAGTCCTCCTGGCACAAACAGGTATATACTTCGAGCAGCATGTACAGAGAACATCACCAAATATTGATTTACGTTCTTTAGTTTAATAACACTGCTAATGCTTCTACTTTTTTTTTCCTATCATCATCATCTTGGGGCTGCTCAGAGAATCGCTCCTGAACAAGACGCTCTCACAAGAACCCATTTCTATTAATGTACGAAGCTCTTAAATACCTTGCGGACATTTTCCAACCAAGCAGCATCAACAAGCCACTTTTGCTGCCGTCGTCCAGGTGAAACAGGAGGCAAGACTGAAAGAGAGTAATCATCGCGAGGCTGACCGTGACTAGTGCTAGAGCCGACACTGCCACCGTGACGCCCAGCACTGCACTCAAAAGAACTCATCATTATCAAGAAGTACATGCACACTGCCCTTTGTTCATCTATACAAACCTAACAACCAGAAGAAAGAGGCAGGAACTCCTACTGAAAAAGTAAAGCAGCGAGGCTGTACGAACAGCACATCAACCTGGGAAATAGTTCATAATAAGCTCCCTTTCCAAGTTCCACGAAATTCACATTGGAAGAATAAATAAGAGCCTTACTATACTGCTGACACTTCAGATCAAGTACATAACTCACCTACAAAGTTATCCAAGGAAACATCTAATCCCATAAAACTGAGTGTTCAGCAGCACGAAATTGCTTTGCATATCCATCTTCTGTTCTTATGCAAAAAAAATGCAAGAAATAAAAACCGTGAAAAGGCCGGCAGAGGGATGTACCCGCTGAGATTTTCGACATCCCAGTATGCGGCTGGCTGGATCTCCCTGATACTGGAAAAACTACGCCCATTTCTATCTCCAAGAGAAGATTTTGTGCGTATTCGCAAGCTTTCCGTTCCACCCTCCAAAGAAAGATGTGATGTGAGAAGTCCGTCATGCCTGACCATGTTTGGTAACGACCTGTCCCTGTCCCCTTGAATGAGAACAGCATCAAGGCTAGCTCCTCTTTTCAATTCTCGTACTGATGCAGCAATCTCAGCACTTTTTCGTTTCTTCTCCGACTCTTCCAATTTTTTTTGAAGATCCAGTATATACTGATCCACCTCCTCCAAGTGCGATGCATGTACCTTCACCATTCCTTCCTTCTTAGATATATTCGCTAACTTGGCTTTAACATCGATGTCACCATGCTTGATAGACCATTCCAGCTCTCTTAGGGCTCCTCGCACTAATGCTGTTTCCCCACGTTCGTCGGCTAGTTGATGCAGTATTTTGTCGTTTGCAGCTAGGAGTTCTTGCTCCTTACGCATCCACCCCTGCTGCCATTTTTGTTCTCGCATGCTTAGCATTTCCTTATATTCTTGAACCAAAGCTGCTTGACGTCTCTCCCACTCAGCCTCTTTATCCATCTTAGCCTGAATAAGTTGTGTTTCTTTATTATCCAGCTCTTCTCTTAAGCTTACAATTGCATCCATAGCTTCCTCAATTTGTTTATCAACATTGGCTACACGACAAACAGCTGCCTGCAGGTTAGAGTTACCCCAGGAATCAGTGCCCTCCAGCTTCCTTTGTCGTTCGGCACTCAACTCCTCAAGAAGTATGATATGCTCCTCCTCGAGCCTCTGATATTCAGCCTCAGCTGCTTCCCGAGTCCTTTGTTCTTGCTCGAGTGCAGCCGTCAGAGCATCCTTTTCTTTCAACAAAGAATGGATCCTTCTAGATAATCTCTCCTCCTCATCTTTCTTCTGCTCATCAAGTGCTTCTAAATCTTCCTTTAAATTAATAATATCCTCTTCTTTCTGCCTGGCCCACTCTCTTGATTCAAGCAACTCTTGCGTGATTGCATCCAGATCGTTTTGCCAACTTTCTTCTTTCTCACGGATTTCTGCAACAAGACGGCGCTTTCCAGCAAAATGCATTTCCATCACTTCTTCTCTTTCTTTCCTTTCTTTCTCAACTTCTCTATCAATGCTCAACACTTCGTTTCTAAACTTCTGCATGAGAGCCTCAATTTGACGTTCTCTAGCATTGAGATGTGCTACCAGGTCCTCTGCCTCAGCTGTCTTAGATGATAATTTTACCTCCAGATTCTTTTTCTCAATGTCAAACTGCTTCAATTTATTCTGAAACTCAGTCTGCATCTCTTCCATCAGCGTTGGGGTATTGGAAACTTTTTCCTCAAGTTCCTCTTTCTCTCGTCTAAGTTTCTCTATGCAACATATTCCAGGATCTAGTTCTGCAACTTGTTCATCCTCAATTGTGTCAACCTCATGGACAATTTTCTCAACGCTCTGGCAGCTTTCTCCATCACTATCTTCCGAACTCCTGTCTGCTTTGAAACTCTCACATGATGCATCCGTTTGTGAACAAGTTTCTAGCATCTGTTTCGGCTGATCGTGAACCTGGTGAGGATTCTCTAATGCATGCTTAACATTTTTAAACGATATCTCCAACTCTTCGAGCTCCTGCTTGAGAGAACTCAATCCTCGATCCTTGGCATCAAGCAAAGATGTCCACTTCATAACTTGCTCCTCAAGCCATTGCTCCCGTTTCAAAACGAACGCTTCCCAACCAGCTTTCTCATCAGACCATTGTGTACGATATGCTTCCAGCTCAATGTCAGAAAGTTTCCTTTCTTGCAACGCTTCGGTGTCCCGTTTCTTGTATTTCGACTCCCAGTGACCGACGGCAGCCTCCAAGTGACTGCATTTTATGATCAAATTCTTCTCTCTCTCCACCCACATCGCCTCCATCTCTGCTTCTCTATCCCTTTCGCTTTTCAACTGCAAATTAAGCTTCTCTTCCAGATTATCCCTATCTTTCACTGCTGCATCCCGTTGCAACTTCCATCGAGTGGACTGTTCGATTAGTTCAGACCTTCTTTTACTAAGCTTCTTGGAACTCATCCTTTGCAGCTCCTTGTCCAGGTCCTTCGAGACAGATGCTAGCTTGCTCGCGACGTCTTCCTCAGCATCCTCAACATCAGGCGTTAACTTCTCCTTCATACTCTTCAGAAAAGACGTTAACCTTTTCAGCTTCTCTTCATATTCACCTCGAATCCTCTTTTCTTCCTTCAAATTTTCTAGCACTTGATCCACTTCCAAACGTGCTTCTCTTCGTCTCTCTTGCTCGACGGACAAGGCCAACTCCGCCTCTCTTAGCATACTAGAGACCCTACTCACCTCCCTCTCCATGGCGAGAAATCTACTCTCCAACTGACGTTCCTTCTCGTGCGACCCCTGCGGATCTTGCTGTAAAGCATTCTCTGAGGTGGGTGCCTGCGAGGTGGAATGAGTAACATGCCGTTCTTTCTTCGCCTGTTCATCACCTTCCTTAACCATCTCCTCAAACGCAAGAAAGCCAGCCTTCTGCGGGCTAGCTGCGGTCTGTTGATTTGAAGTAGCAGCTACCACTATCGAATCATTGGATACAGTACTATCTCTGTCAGCTGCAACTTCCAGTCTTGATTCATCACTAACGCGCTTATTACCTAGCATGCTCTGCATGATGTCGTCGATCTCATTCTGCTTCTTCTGCAGGACGAAGTCCTTTCTAGAAAGACTAAGACGCAACTCGTCCTCTAGCCGCCGAATCTTCCCCTGCAATATCCCAACTTCATCTTCAATCTGTTCCTCATATCTTTCCATTTCAAAACCACTCTCTTTTCATTCCATCCCCTGTGCTTCGTTCTCAGCACGCATACTGAACCACATTTCATTGATTAGCTGTTCAAATTCAACCTGACCCTCGACAATATGCTCAATTCTCAGGAACCTGGCTTCCAAATCACCTTCTTCAGCAGCTAAATCCCTCAGTTGCTTTAAGACAAAGCTTGGCACCATTTGATGAGTGTTCTTCCTCTCCAGATGATGACCTCATATACAGCCCCTCAGAAACTTGCCCTGAAATATCCTCCAGGTTGGCAGGTTTGACAACGATCACAGTAGGAACTAGCTCATTCTGACAACCTGCAAATCTTCGAGCACCGTTTCGTAGTTCTCTCTTTCTCGAATCTCCAAATCACCAGAACCACCAATCCTGCTGTTCGTCCCTATGCAGCTTTTTCAATCTCTAGGGGAATAATTTGAACACTAATTCTTTAAGTCTTCCACATGATACGATCAGCTTCCCAATTCCATTTTCATGCCTCCTACACGATTCCCCAAGCTCCTCTGAACTTTCAATTATACCGCTAGAGTTCTGGATGACATTGCTTCCTTGCCTTTCTCTTGCGAAAACACTATTTAACTCTAGGGTTCCCCAGAAGCATTAGAGATTAGCCACTTTTTCCGCCATCAAGTAAAGAAGGCTTCTAGAGCTCCTGCCATCCTGCTGGAGCCCTGAAGTATACGGTCGACTTCATAAATTCATCACTTACACTCGCGCTCACATGCGCAGTCCTAAGGTGCCACCCTCAAAGAACGTAATCGGTTTACTCCAGTTATCCATTTCGTTTCTCCTGGTCTGCACATAGCAATTCTCGTTGATAACTCTGGCGTCTTTGACTTAAGCTTTCGAATGAAGAGCCAGAGATTTATGATAAGAAGATTAACGAACAGAATGGAATTTTCTCGTAGGCAAAGAGCAGATTAGTCAACCAAAGAATCATCTTGTGTCGACTACAGACCGAGCACGAGCAATCCAACTAAATACTGTGCAAAGCTCCACAGTTCCATAAACATGATGATTGCCACTAATCTACCAAGACTGGATGCGATCTAATCGCTAGACATCTTCGAATTTAGTTTTCTTGCGTACACAATGAAATTCAGAATACAAACACGAGAGTACACCTCAAGACCTAATTTACACCAACAGACTGCGCAAATCAACACGGGAAAAATCTAACCAGGCAATTGAAAATCCACTAGCACTCCTCAGAATTCCAAAGCTAAGAGTGTAATGTGAGAAAAACTCCATAGCAGACATATATAAGAACACAAATTCAATAAAAAAGAAAAAAGAAAAAAGAAAAAAATTCAGCACATCGCACTCTGATATCTCCCCTGAATTCCGAACAAATGCCTCCCATACTCCAATAACACCGTCTTACAAGCTACGGCGACTAAGTCAATAGCGGCGGCAAAACAGAGGCGCTCACCTCCGTGCACGATGCAACAGCTCCAGAATTGAGGTCTGCTAAACTTCACAAAAAATTGAATCGAGCATGAAGAGTTTCCCAACTCGACTCGTTCAGAAGGTTTCGATGTGCTCATCACACTATCCAGTACTTACACAGACGCTACATCGCTAACGTTGTAGAAACCAGAATCTCCAACATCTAGGACGACATTCGACACTGGATTGCAAAACCTAAGGTTAATCCAGGGCACACTGTGCACGAAGCAGGGCTTCACGAAGCTCCGTCTCTAGAAACGCACAATAATATACTCCCAGCCAACGAAAAGAGCCTCACAAAACAGCGACCCCACACGATGCGAAGAATTTCCCGAGTAATCTACTTCTCGGAAAATTCGAGGAGTAATAAATTATATTCTCCTGAAACCTTTCCGACCATTGACTCCGAGACTTGTCAGATGCGGTGAATCTACTGAACTGACTCTAAATAACAAGTATAAAACCTAAAAGCCGCTCGCGACGCTTGGGGAAGCAAACCATCGGCCTGCCTCCTTCCCTCGTCGCGGCAACATGATTCCACAGAAATGCGGCCAAGGGCTCCCTTTCTTTTTTGCAGAAATTGGCGGGAGTGGCCGAAGAGAGCCCGGTCTTCGGTGCCCGGCAGCTTTCTTCCACAATTATGCGGCGAAGGGCTCCTCTCCTCGTTGGGGAAACCGGCGGGTGTGGCCGCGGATAATGCGGTCTTCGGTGCACGAGGGCCCCCTAACTCTACCAATTCCGTGGGCCCTAATTCGCATTTATCATTTCTTTTCCGTTCCTTTTTCTTTTTTGGATCTTTGTCCTGTTCTCAAACTTTTTAACATTGCTTTTTCTTTCTTTCTTTTTCATTTTATTTGATTCTACTCTAAGTAAATTGAATGTGTTTGATTTAAACTGGCATAATGTTTGTGGTGGTAAAATGAGAATAAAGTAGTAGTAGGAGTATTACTAATTGACAATATTTTTTTTATAATACTTTAGTTACTTGTCATGATGGTGCAACAAGAAAAAGCCTGAAAGAATGTATGTATTGATGCTTGTATTTACAAGGAAGTACCATCTTATGTTTTAGACTTCATTAAAAAAGATATCTCTTAATATTGAAAAATGATATTGATCAAAATACAATACATAATGAATGTTTGCTTTAAACATGAATATAAAGAATATTTAAAGAATTGAAGCTTCACTCTTTTTACTTAGGTGCAAGCTACATGCACACCCCAAATTGCTACACACATCTAAGAAAATAGAGGCATCTAATTAGTTGGTTTATTAAATTGATCACTCACTTGCAACCCTTTACCTTGCCTTTAGTGCAAGTGTTAGTCCCAATAGGACTTGCATTGGGACTAAGTCAAGAGCATGCTTTAAACCTTGTTATATTGTGTGTGTTATATTGTGATATTGTACTCATGACCCATATCACAATATTTGAGCAAAGTAGCCAATTAGAGGCATTGGGGTGCATATAGGTATAATGGGTGTGTGTATAGCAATTTGGGGTGTACATGTAGCCTAAATGTTTCACTTATTATTGAAGAAAAGCAGATCTTTCTAGAGTAAAAAAACTTTATTTTAACTCCATTTTAAATTTAGTAATAGATATTTAACAAAATTTAATGTCAAATAATAATAATGATAATTGTAACATAATTCTGACTTAGATACAATAACTAATCAGTACATATTATATTGTGCTTTACACTCTAATAAAATATTTAATGTAAATTTTCTTCATTGTTCTAAGATAACTTAAACTTTTGGTGTCCTTAATTTCTTTTGGTCTTCATTCAAATGAGTAAAAAATTGAATTCTTTAAGCTATGTTTCAACACCATATTACAAATGTTTCAACACCATATTACTAAATAACAAAAATATTGATTATTGACTTTTTAGTTTTTTTCTCAACTACTTATTAGTTTTCAAAGTTTTGTCTCTTGCATAATTTGAATTTATTCTTTCTCAGACCATAAGAAGTATATTTTGATATATTTTGAGGTGCTGAAATTTTATTCACTTTCAAGTCAAATTCATAAAACGTCTAAGGTTAGTAATAATAATAATAAAACAACAATGAAAGTGACTTTGTCGTAATTTATCAAAATTAATCCATTATTTAAAAACAATCAGAACACAAGCGCATGTACAATTAGGTGAAATTTTATCAAAGCATACATACACACACACATATTCAATTTTTACATGATTAAAATTTAACATTCTAGTTGTATATCTTTCTAGAATAAGGTTGATTCAAATTTAACACTCTAGACTAAAGTTGAGTAGCAAAACAGTTCTACATTCACTTAAAGACATGAATCATGTTTTTAAACATGGAAGCATTAGGTGGTGGCAAGCCTACAAATTTCAGGTTCTTAAGCGTTTTGTTGGCAACTTAGAATTTGAAAGCAGTACGTTGTAGAACCAAGGTGAGTATCAAGAAAAACTCTTGAAAAGAGATTCCGCTTGTCGTGACCCATTGCTTTATCTTGGTTCCATGTGTTAACAGTAGAGTTTGAGCTAGTGATGGATCACCTACACAGAAAAAAAGAGGTTCATGAACAGTGGAATTGGAGTCATTTGACTTCAAGTTATGGAAGACAAGAGACATCCAAATTTTAAGACTTCGATAGTCTTGGCAAGAAAGAATGAGGTGATAATCAGAAACTGGACTGAGAAAATGCTGCATAGACAAAAGCGTTGAGATAAATGCAAAAGTAATTTGATAGTTATGCAAGTACAAATAACCAGTTTGGTAAGTCCTCAAATAAATGCAAACTTGAGTCCAAAGCTATAACAGAATCGAAGATTTTTCTACCATATGTCACATCGACGATCACTAACATCCGAAGAATGCTTATCTAAGGTCAACAAGTAGGAACAACACTCCCTTTTACTATGTTACTCTATCCCTAGGGTGCAACCTAAATACATACTTAAATGTTGAGGGGTTCTAATTCAGCTCCCTTCTCAGTCGTCCACGTCTCAATTGACCCTGCAAAAGAAGAGATTATGACACATTATAAATTGTCCCAGCACATTCGAACATGTCCTGCGATTAATACAAGACAAACTTAACATTTAGAACATCATGTAAGGTAGTCAAGAGCGAATCTAACTCACTGCTTCTGTGCTTGTCAGAAACCATCAAGAGCCGGCGCTGCAAGACACCAGCCAGTGCCAGAAATATTGCGCACATTCCAAACATCACACTGATAGGGAATGCACTGACCTGAAGGAGCCAACAACAAACCAAAAGAGAAGTCAGAAATCTGTTGAAAACTCAGTCTCATCTGACAACTTCCAATAGTAACTTCCTATCTTTGTTATTCCCAGAATAAAGAAAAAGCGACAAAGAAAGTATTTTTCTAAAGAAGTAGTGGCTTACATTGTACAGTACAACACACACAAATACGTTCAAAGGAATCCGGAAAAAATTCATGATTGTGCTCCTCGACTCTTCAGGGATATACTGGGACCTCATTTTCATGATAGATGGCCAGAAAACTCCCACACACATCTCAAATATACAGAAACCCAGGAGGTTTAGTCGCCCCCCAGCCGTAATGCTAGCCGAGGGCGAATCCGGCAAAAAGAACTGCAACAAATAAAAGCCGAAATCATGAATCAAGTTAAATTAACAGATTTTGAAAGTGCTCCGTTCCATTTTCTAGGAGGCGGTATAACCCAATTGATAAGACTTTCGAATTACAAACACACACTTATATATATATATATATATATATATATATATATATGTGTGTGTGTGTGTGTGTGTGTGTGTGTGTCCTGACCACAAATTCCAAGATTACCAAACCATGTATAGCCATGAACATTGCCAATGAGAGAAGCTGTGTAAGAAAACTCACTTGGATGATGACTGGAAGGCAGAGAGAACCCGAAGCGACCATAAACACAATCTGCATGTAGCTCTCCACCCTCAAGTGTGGACGTGACATCAGACGAGATGCTAAAGAGCTTCCCAACATAGAAGCAAGCATGAAAGTGGCAAAGATAAAGCCAAATGGAATTTTCTGATCGTTAGGGCTCAAGGCTGGTGTCCAAAGGAATACAAACGTATACATGGATCCTTCAAACAGGGACTGGATGGCACCCAACAAAGCAATCTTCTCATCTGTCAATCCAAAGACACAATGGAGACCAGAATTAAGAATTCCTACATGCCACGAACTTGGTGCCGAACAAAAGCACAGTACTTAAGTAAATAAATGATAGAAACAAGACCTTTGCAACCTCATTTGACCGCGAGAATGAAGTGCAAATGTCTTGAAACTCGTCCATAAGCACTTAAGTTCTCACCAGAAGCAATAGCTGAAGCTGCCTGCGTAAATTGATGGGTGAAGCTCTTGCCCTCTGTCTGGTCTCCATAGTTCTCTGGCCAGGTAGAAATAATTATCGCCATGCCGACCGCTAGAACACAAGCTGCGGCATCAAAGGGGGAGACGGGGCCCAAGCCGAAAGTACCCGCCAGAGTGTTTGCGACTAATCCAGCAAGAATAGCAACCAGTCCATTACCCAAGAATATAGCCTTGGAGAAAGTCAATGACAACCACTGTGCCTCAAAACCTCTCTGTATTGACGACAAGTAGAAATCACCGTCAATGAGTTTTAAATTCGACATACAAATACACATACACATACGCACAATGATTCAGTAAAACACCATTTTATCTTCAGCCATAAAATCAATTACTTGTTGTATGTACTTGCAGAGAGAATGATCCGCGTCACAAAGAAAACCTAAAATAGTTAGAGACTCAGGTAACCTTAAAATGCTCAGCAACAAGCCAGGACTCAAATGAAGAGAAAAGCAGTGATGTGGCGATGCCTCCCAATACACGTCCCAACATCAACACCCTGTACTCTGGAGAATGCTTCGTAAAGCAACTCAGCATGTATGTAATACAGTAAATGACACTCATCCTCTTGCGCCCACTGTCATAAGAGGTTGGAACCAGAAACGTTACAAAGTGTTACAGGAAAAGAAAAGAAAAAAGAAAAGAAAAAACATACCTCAAGTGATGATGGTGCGTAAAAAGATATAGTAAAAGTCATTTTGGGCAAAAGCTATGCAAGGAACCGAAGGGACTGTAAATATCATGTGGATCACCACATTGGCGCAGATCGTGAAGATTGACCCCTGATAATATGCAAATGATGGCATGGAACACTTACTATCGATCGGCAAGAGATCCAACAATAGTCCCGAAAAGCATGGATGATCCAAATCCAGCTATGAAAAGCTTTCCGATATCACCTTTATTGTACCCGTAAAAGACATATAGGGCGTACACGTATGGTCCTTGCAGCCAGTCTCCCGCTGCACACATAAGCAACAGCAAGTTATGAGTTTCACGGGTGTCGCATCATCTAAGAGGACCTAAAGGAAGCCCCATAAGCATTTTCCATAATACATAACATGTCCATCCGCAATGGACAAGTAGCAAGATGAAATCGAGCAGAGAACACTGCAGATTCATTCCAATGGGATAATGAAACTAGTTCCAAGCATGTTCTAAATGAATATTTCCCACGGACTTCACAGTTCATGATTGGAACAAGTGGACGTAAAAAGTAGTAAATGTCCCAAACAAAAAATCTAAAAATATTCCACAGCATTCAATGTAAGATCTAAAGCCACAAGACCGCGGATGGAGCAAATAACACGAGCACAATACCGCTATGCATTATCTTAAATGCCAACCCATAATGGTCCAAATCCTCAGCAAGATCACGTGCCACCAAATTATTGACGACAAAGCAGAGTAATCTCACTCATGAGCGCGCTTCAAACACCGCATTAAATGAACCACGATAAGAAAAATAAATAAGAGAATTGGCAAAGCTCCATCAACTCGCGTCAAAATGTGTCGCAGAAAACCACCAACTACGGTTCGCAGTCATGTAAGCTCATGGATGGACCTGGTCATATGCGTAGGGTAGACTACACGGTGAACAATTCTTATACAGTTTACGGACGGTACAGAAAAACAAAGAGAAAAGAAAAGAAAAAGAAAGACAGAGGGAAGACGCGAATCCCAGGCTAAGTTGCAAAACGGTTTGTTACCCATCATAAGCGAGTAGACGACCAGGTAGTTGTTCTTGAAGGCATTGAAAGCAGAAGACGTGGTGATCCGGTCCTTGCCAGACTTCCCAAACTCCAGGGCCACCAGGGCAATGACCTGGATCCCAAACACGGCGTAGAAGTAAAACTCCATAGCGGAACCACGGCACCCGCTCCCTCTTCTGCAGCTGAGAGCTCACTTCAAGCTCCACATACGACCCCTCTCCAACTCCTGAGCAGAAGCGTCTTTCCTCTTCACCTTTCCAAGAAAAATAAACACAATGCCAGTCTCTCCTGTTCCTAAATATCACAAAAAGAACACCCAACAAAGGCTCGTGGGACGCACAATCCCTTTACCCTCAGATCCGCATCGCCCTCCAAACTTCGACACCGCAAACCACAATCGCGGCACGGAAATGACCACCGTAACGTCAAAATGAAGAAAATGCAACAATATCAATAATGAGATGCGAGGTAGACGAAGACACGCAACAACAGATCCGATACGTGCTCAGAAACGATGCGAGAAATCCAACATTGTGGCTAGCTGCTCGAACAGTGCGAAGCTGTTCGGGCTGAGGAAGCGGGGGTGCCAGAAAACCCTTATAGAATGCGGGCCACGGGATTCGAAGACCATGTTTGTATGTGGGGATGGGTGCCCGTGGGTTGGGGGTCGGATTCTCTGTTCCCGTTCACACTGTTGGTGCTCGAATCCAGAATCTCCTGCAAGCCCACCTGACGTGAAAATATCTCACCAGGTATTCGGGTTGAATTCTCCGCCCGGGTCCACCCCCCCCACCCCCCCAGCCGGGGATATAAGTCAGTCTTTACCACAATATAACTCTATGTCAGTGGAAACTTATTGTGGATGTTGAATATTGCAAACTTGCATAGACAACCATAGAAAGAGTCATGTGAAGATTTATGTTTATATATATATATATATATATATATATGCAACTCTCTAATTATTTTTATAGGAAAAAAGATAAAATCTTTCCAAACTTATGGATTTTGTTTGTGGAGTTTCAATTGCCAACCACTTTCACGCAACCTTTTCATTGTAGAAGGTAAAGTCTTTCTAGAAAATATTGTGGTAAAGTCTTTCTAGAAAATATTTTGTAATTTTATTTCTTTTTAATAGATTTTATGATTTTCAATAAATAAGCGATACCTAATTGCATATTTAAATTAAGCTGTTTTTTAACCCAAATTTTGTCATTTATACTCATTAGTTCAAAGTAAGTTGCAAGTAAAAAGTAATTTAAGTTTGCTTGAGATATTTGCAACAATTATAGAAGTGAGAGATGCTTATTGAGTAATAAAATTGTGATTATGTCATAATGTCCCATTGATGATATTTTATTCCAAAAACCAATAGGAAGTAGAAAAAACACCTAATGTCACCTTGAATACATATATTCAGGATAAACTATTTGATGTCAAGTCTGTTCCATAAGTTTTTGAAAGCAAGAATTGGTTGTGAAAATAGACTCAAATTGAATCCTTGAATAGGCACTTTTGGTCATGGATTGGATTGTACAAGAAGCAATGAAATAACAAAACGTGCAAAAAAAAAAAAGAAAAAAAAGAAAAAATAACAATTATAAATATTTAATGCATTATTGATTGTAAAATAATTTGGATGAAATAACTAAATACATTACATTATCTTTAGTAAAAAAATATATATTATATATTTTTTCATTTTATTAGATTCAATAACTAGTCACATAATCAAACTAAAATACATCTTGAAGAAACCTTATTTGATTATTACAATCATAAAAATAAAAAAATAAAAGATAACCAAATTTGATTTATAAAATTTACTCTAAAATTTAATAACATATGTATACTATTAATTTTAATTAGATGATTGTTATTTAGATGGATATGTAAATCTTAATTAATTAATAAATTAATAGTTTTTATTAGACTATAATGCATAGTAATCAATTTAGGCTAATTAGTTTATATTAATTTGTATATGAGAGTTTTAAGACATCTAATTGGATGTACTTAATTCTTCTCACACTCTTGCTCTATTACTTTCTATTAATATTCTCTATAATATAAATCTTATCATTAGTTTTTTATATCTTATTGTTCCATAATGTATGAAATTAAAAAACTAAGAACTTTAAGTAGTTGCAACATACATCCAATCATATAATAATATTGAGATGAAAGTTTTTTTTTTTTTTTTTTTTTTTTTTTTTTTTTTCTTCTTTTGCTTTAGCTAGATAACTGCATTTGTTAAATTTGTATATGTTTTTAAATCTTACTCTAACTTTTTGGGAGGTACTTGTACATTTTTTTTCTATCTTTTATACAAATTGATAAGATCTAATTATATGCAAATCTGCATTGTATTACATTTATTTACCTTTTAATTTAAGATTAGTTTTATGTAGTAGATTTAAGTGCCAATTTGACAACCATTTGGACCTTCATGTAAGCCAATGTCAGGAATAAGAACTTGAAGAATGTAAATAATAAAGTTTAATATATATATATATATATATATATATATTCAAGAAGAAATTGAAAATATATATTTCCGTAGATTAAAAAATTAAAAAATCTTGAAATTAGATTAAAATAACAAAGAAATTGACAAGAACTCAATGAAAAAATAATTCAGACAAGTGAGCCTTCACTCAAAGAGAGGTAACAAAATATATATAAACAAGTATATATATTGAAAGAGGAACTGGAATGGCTATTGCCAAAAGACAAGAAAACTAGAGACCCTTGAAACTAGACTAGAAGCAAGAAAGGAATTGACAAGAGTGAAGAAGCCTTCACTCTTGTCTCTATATATACTCTCTAACTAGGGGCTACGTGGCGACGTTCTATAGGACCTCCAATATGTGTTGACTTTGTAGGACACATGCCTTGACTTACAAGGCAAGTTTTTCTACGTGTGGGCCACATAGTTAGATGGATCTTCAAGCTAATAACATGTGTGGCACATGGCCAACTTGTTGACTACGTTTCTAATCCAAAAAGTCAATTAAAGACACCTATGAAGTCAAAGCAGCGTCTAGGAAGTTTCTAGGAAGCTTCCATATTAAATATTATAGAATTAACTTATTTTTACCTATTTTTACTTACTTCTACCTATTTCTATATGTAATTATTAGCTTACATGATTATGGCCGTGACATTACCCCCCCTTCTAGAGACGAGTTCCACGAGGAGCAGTCATCATATGTTGAGGAAATCTATGATGCGACGAATTGTATTCGCCACATACTCTAATCTCTGTTCTCTTCGAAGATGATTGATAGGGCCTCTCAACCATCGGTAGTGTCCCATACCAGGGCGGGAAGACCACCCAGTTATTTGATCATTGTTGAGGCCTTCGTAACTTCCTTCGAATAGAATATTTGGAACACCATCAAGAGTTGTTCCTACCTCTAGAAAAATCACCAAACATTGGGAGTCCCTTCCCAAATCGTGATACCAAATGCATTGTATCTCACCATCTATTCGAGGAAGAACATGTCGTTCTTGAAGATCTTCATCTCGATTGTGTCGTCTTGAAGGTTGTGACAATCGTAATGTCTCGTCCGACAGGTCAGCAAATGAAGGCTCTTGAGTTAAATCCACTGGTTATTGGTTCTCCATCTCCTGAGCGCCACTACTACAACGAAGCTACGAACAAGAATTGAAAGTAGAATGTTAACTTGCCTAGATGTTGTTTCTTTTATAAAGAAGGTTTTCATCATGATTTTGATGGATGTTGTCGATGAAAAGCCTCCACCGCCTTTGCTGCATTTGCAAGATTCTTTATTGGCTCCCATGTGCGTTCACTAATACCATATCCACGCCAATAGACAAGATATTCTAATTTATTTCGGCGCTGCCTTGAATCTAAGACTTCTTCTACTTCAAACTCTTCATTATTGTCCACTTCTATAGGATGAGGTGGAGTTTGTCGTCTTCTTGGTATGTCCAATGTCTTGTATGGTTCAAGAAGAGATACATGGAATATTGGATGGATTTTCATTGACTCTGGTAGATGTAAACGATATGCAACTGGATTGATTTGTGCAGAAATAGAAAATGGTCCCAGCCTTCGATAGTCCAACTTGTCACAAGGACGAGTGGTCTTGATATTGCGATGAAGTAGCGATACCTTATCACCCAAGACGAATGATGGTTGTTCCTTTCGATAGACATCTGCATTGGCCTTTTGTTGTTCTTGAGCCTCTTTTAACTGCGCCTTCATCGTTGCATGTAGCTGTGATAAATGAATTGCCAAATCTTTTGCAGCACGATTATCAACTTTTGAAAAGTCAAAAGTATCAAGTCGTGGATGATAACCATAATTAGCAAAGAAAGGTGTTTGTTTTGTAGAAGAATGTACCGTGTTATTGTAAGCAAACTCTGCCAATGGCAAAAGAGTTGTCCAATCATCTTGTTGGTAATTAATGGTACATCTTAAATATTGCTCCAAAACTTGATTAACACGCTCCGTTTGTCCATCAGTTTGAGGATGGAATGCTGAGGATAGTTTTATATCCACTTTAAGAATCTTGAAAAGAGTCCGCCAAAATCTTGATACAAATTGAGTTCCCCTATCTGATATAATATCCTTAGGTAATCCATGATAGCGATAGATATTGTCAAGAAAGAGCTTAGCTGTGATAGATTTTGTACATGGTACAAAATGTGCCATCTTGGTAAAACGATCTACTATCATGAATATAGAGTCATAAGAACCTGAGATTGGAAGATCCGTGATGAAGTCCATAGAAACAGAAAACCATGGTTGTTCTGGAATGGGTAATGGCTGAAGAAGTCCAAATGGTCGATGACGAGGAATTTTTGATCTTGAGCAAACATCACATGATTGTACAAAATCTTTAACTGCCTTCCACATTTGAGGCCACCAAAAATCCATGGATATCAGCTCCAAAGTCTTATTATATCCGGAATGTCCTGCTGCTGGGAAGTCGTGACGAGCTTGAAGAACACATAAACGTGCTTCTCCTTCTCGAACATATAGACGTCCTTCGAAATAGAGTAGGTTGTTCTTGAATTCAAATTTAGATGGATCATGATATTTAGAAGAATTGTTCTTGATATCATGAACAAGAGGGTCTGAAGACATACTTAACTAGACTTGCTTAAGGAAAGTTAAATCAACAGTCAATGTTGATTTTATTGCTCAAAGATGAAATTACTCCGGCTTGAAGAGAATTGTTCTTTGTTGCTCAAAAGCTGCATCTCCTTCTTTTGGTACAAGATAAGAACGTCTAGCCAAGGCATCGGATAAACCTTGTTGTTTTCTTGGCTGATAAGTGATGATGAATTCGAATCTTGATAAAGACATGCTCGAATGAGCTTGACGACGATTTAATACGCGTGCTGATATAAAATATTCGAGGTTCTTGTGATCCGTATACACGGTGACTGGACTAGAAGCGCCTTCTAGATAATGATGCCATTCTTGAAAAGAATCGACAATTGCAAGAAGTTCTTTGTCGTGGATCTCATAATTGATTTCTGCTGTTGAAAATTTTCTTGAATGAAAGGCTACTAGATGAAGTTTGTCATCTGTTCCCATTTGTGATAAAAC